TAGAACTCCCTCTCTCAGCACGTATGTTGATCTAAAAGCACCTGTTATACAGAGGAGCAAATATAAATAATATAAATAGCACCTAGGGCTTCACCGTCATGTTGTTAAAAAGGGGGTAAGAATTCTTATCTAACATTTGTACTGCAGAGACCGCACTAAAATTCATTAGCACAATCAAATTACAATGATTATTTATATAGATATAAATCAGTAAATGCTGTAGCACACCTTCACATCTTAGTGTTAAATCAATTTAACTCTTGCTTTCTTTAAAGGATAATGAATGATAACGACAAATTTATACACAAAAAATGACAATGGTAGGCAATTCATGCAGAAAACACAATGAAGCCATATTGTTTACTAAAATGAAGAAACCTCCCGTGAGAGTGGCATTATTGTTTTTCAATTTACAGCAAGTTAATTCATAGACAATGATGGTAAAAGCTAAACATATCATATAGCTTAACAGTGTTAATAATGAGGACTCCAAAAAACTATGCACATACATAATAAACTTCTTCAAAACTCTTATCACATAAAATCAAACTACAGAAGGTTTATCATGAAGTGACACAATTGTTAATATACCGTCCATAATAACTCTTTTTTTAAATACCATAACCACTTCCTTCATTTTGTGACTTCAGTGGTCATTTATTAACAATGGTGTCACCTCTTTCCAGGGATCTAAACAAGGAATGTTCCCACTGGAAGTTGCACTGACTCATTTTCTTCACATTTTTATTCTTCTACTACTTTCAGCTATCTACAATACCTTCACTAACTATAGAAACCCATTTATGGCAATGCTCGGCTTGTAGAGACATGAAACAGTACACTCTCATACCCATCATGTCTGTACAACTATAGTACAAAAAAAAAAAAAAATTAATAATAATAAGGTTTATACCATTTGGTTTACAACAAATAGCTTTTCCATAAAATATGTTTGGGTTAACTTTAATTTAAAAAGAAAACAAAAAACAAAACATTAAAAAAGATAACACCTTGGTGGTGTTGGCAACTATGCTTGAGAGTGTTCTTGCTTATACACTGCATGGTAAGCATTCCGTATCAGAGCATAGGGGAAGCAAGATTCCAAAAGATCCATAGTGAGAGATGGGCATTCCTGCACGATCTAAAAACCAGAAAAAAATATCCATTGAAACTCTTTGACTAACAGGACTTTCTTGAAATACACAGCTTGGAAATCTAAAATACTCACTTGATCCAACAGAAGGTACACAGACTCTCGATTTCTTACAGCCTCCTTATCTGGTTCTTGACCGAGTCGAAGAAGACTTGAAGATGCCAACTGTAAAAAAACAGGTGAAAATGAAGTCAAATGAGTGAAACCAGTTGGTTATTATGTATACAGGGTGGTCTACAGACCCCTTCCTTTATTTTGCTTATACTTCACCGCATGCATGTGTGCGGGCGGGCTTGCCTACTGTCGCTCACCATGGGCGCCTCATGGCCCCGTGCGAGTATGCAACCCGTCCGCACGCCTGTATCCGGTACAGTATAAGCAAAATAAAGGAAGGGGTCTGTGGACCACCCTGTAGATAAAAAAATAGGAGTAAATGTATTTCATAAACTTACAGCAAGGAATTCCTTCATCCGATCTTCAGTATCACCTTGACCACAAATACTGAACAGAGCTCCAAATATGTTGTTAACAGCTGCTGCCATGCAGTGAATGTTGTTTGCATGCCCCTCCAATGAAGCTCGGTAAAATGAATTTTCATTACGTGCGAGTTTTGGAATTGATACAGCAACAAGCACCATCAAAAGACAAGCTAACAAATGCTCATCCTCCTCAACATCTAGAAATTTGTAACAAATGACAGAAAAATTGTAAAATACATGTCATGGGAAAAAAATTGATTTTCTATTTGTTATACACTAACCACTCTTATGATTACGAAGTGCAGCCACCAAGACTGGATCAACTTTGCAAATTAAACCTGCAGCTGATGCCATCTCATTCACAACCTGGAACAGGTCTCAATCAATAAACAATTTTGGATTCCCAGAAGACAGAACATTTAGTCAAAATACAAATACCTTCCTAGAACAATAAAAATTACAGGACCATACATTAAAAATGTGTACTCACCAGCTGATCAGCTAGGTTCCCTGTGTCACCTGGTGGAGCATGTTGCCTGAAGTCTAACACAGAGCTCAGTAAGAATGGCACTCTCTCCTCTAGTACATCAACTAGAGCAGCCTGAGCCAACTGACGGAAGCTTAAAATAACTCCTACAATTGTCATACGTTGCAATACATTATCCACATCTGGAGAAAAGAAAATCAAGAACAGCTTTCATTTTGTATGTCGAAGCCAGACAGATAATCACAAAGCAATTTCAATAGAAAATGAGATACTTACGTTGCAGACGCTTAAACTGCTCTTTCATTATTTCTGGTTTGTCAAAATTAGTTCGTAACGATAACAAAACTTCTTTGTTGGCTGCAACCAATTTCTGTAAAAGGAAAAAAGTTTCATACATTGTCAAAATAGTGGTGTTGTGATGGTTAAACCATTTGTATATTTCAAGTATAGCATAAAAATATAAATAAAATTACCTTTAATTCTTGCACTTGACTGGCTATGTGCCACATCAGAGTTTCACTGAGAAGGCGCATACCATATGGCCCAATCAATTCTGCTAAAGCCCGCAGTTCATTCGTATCAGAGAATTCTTCAGCATTAAAGGGAATAGCTCCTTCAGCAGTTAAGCTAACAAAAGCTCTTTGGTTCATTGAAAAACAGATGTTGCCAGCACTTACTCGTCGCAACAAAACTTCTGAGTACCTGTAGGAAATGAAGGGTAATAGTTAGAGTATTATTCAAAAAAATAAAATTGCACAACAGATTTCAACACAAAATATTAATAAACTAATTTTTTGCGCACCACTGAGTGTAAAGAGCAGCTATGGTCTTTTCTCCATGAGAATCTAACTGCTGGGTTTGCTGAAGTAAAGCATTATTGAAGACTCTTGTGATATCAATATGTACTGAAAATAAAGAGAAAACATTAGCATGCTGAACACCAAACACAGAAATGTAATTAGTTCCCAACAACACTAGACAAGACTTGCATACCCACCATAATTCTCAACAGTCTGCAAAACATTCATATATGCTCTTACACTAGCTAGAAGCTCAGATGGTTTAGCTATCTCACTTGTGTCGGGATTAAACATCACCATCCCAACAAGTGCTCGAGCAAAGCGTGTTTCCAAATGCTGATGAAGGTATTCTCTTGGGGCAAACGTGTACTCCCATACTGTGATAGTTGAACAGTAATTTATGGCATAACAGAGTTCTGTCAAAGCCATGTGAAGCTTGTCCATTCTGAAAACAGAAATAAAAAGTTATCATCACATAAACATCAATTAGATTGAAGTAAATAATTAGAAAGCCTTTCTTACGTTGTTAGTTCTTCTCGAGTTTTCCTGTAGCTTTCAGCACCAGGCTTAGTTATTTCTGGAGCAGTCTTTTTCCCTTTCTCTTTCTTTTTTCGATGAGCAAGCTGAGATATTAATGCAGCACAGTGCTTTGGTAGAAGCTTCAAAGAAAAATTCATTAGATTAGATTCACAATTGCATTTGCTTATGTTAGAGGAGCAAATTAAAAGAGGAAGCTAGTTACCTTGTCACTTAACGTGCATTGTTCATCACATATAGTTGTGATAATATTTTTTGCCTCTTTTGCCATCTCATCTAAAAACATATTCACTACAGAGAGACTTCTTTCTCTAATATGATGCCTCTGTATTCACAAATACAAAAAAAATCAAAAATCAAAATATTGCAAGAGGAAACTTGATCAGAATAGTGGAATGCTGAAGCAGCAACCCTCTTACCTCTTCGGGACACAATTCATGAGTGCAGCTCTGAAAATGGCCACAAATCAATGGAAAAGCCACAATGTATCGATTTTGAGCTGGGAACTCCAGACACATGTGGAACTGGTCTTCAAACATTTTGCTATAAAAACTGTTATGGAAAAAGATAAAAAAATTATCATCACATGAAAACAAATTGTGTTACACAACTTAATTTTGAGAAGTCAAACACAGTCTTACCAGAAAATAGATAAATCTGAAGCCTCAACCAACACCTCATCTAAATAATCAACCATTTTTGTATGAAAAACAACTGTATCAATCAAGGCTGCAAGTTCACGGTTCTCAGCCAAAGACAAAGAACTTTTGCCAACAGAAGTATAAGCTTGAAGACGGAGCCAGTCAAGACGAAGTGGTCTGAAGTCCATCAGTTCATTGTCCTCCACTGGGGAAACAGCAGAAATGGATTATCGGGCATGTGTTTTAATTGTTACAACTGAATAACACAAGAGTAAGAGAGCAAAACTCACCTTGCTTAACACTGAGACTGGCAATTGTATTACAAATTGACGACAAAATTATACTCTCATCTTCTGGGCAAACAGCAAGATTCTGCATCATTTGATTTAAGGCTACAGCATCAAATCCAGACAAATACTGGACATAATATCTCTGCAAGACTTGACTGTATTTGCGAACAAGAACTGTAACACAGAATAGGTAAATTAAAGCTGAATCTAAAGCATGTACACTAAAAAATTTCTCACTACTATCAACAAAATCTTATACGGTACCTCTTAACTCTTCCATATGGAATAGGAGTTCTGGGAGCTGGCGATCTACAAGATCTTCGGCAGATTTCCCTTTTGACTTTGTTTGAGGTGGGTTATCTGAATGTCTTAGCAACCAATGAACTTCATCTCGTGAAGCACAAAGAGCCATCAGTACTACAAGGGCCTAAAATTGAAGCAAAAGATCATATTTATTTCCTTTAGCACATCATTAGTTTGATTTTTTTTATAAGACTAACTATCCAAACCTTTGGTCCAAGAAGACCTGGCTGGTCCGTAAGAATGAGGCCAAGTTCTTTCAAGGATGTGCGAAGAAATTTTCTTCGTTCCCGATGTCGGTAGCCGCTACATAGAACGAAGAAAATATAATAAGAGTTCAGAACAAGACCAGGGCTATAGAAAAAAAAACAGTCAACAGTATCAAATTAAACTTACGCTTTTTGCACAGCTTGGGTGTAACAATCCTTGACTTCATTAACACGCTTCCCATATCCTTTAATGCCGTCAAAGAAACCTTGTATGTATCCATGTATGTGAAGAACTTCATCTCGGAAGAGAGCAATAACCCACCCAGATTCGAGGGCACTTGACCAAAGCCTATTCGGTTGCTCGGTTGCTAGAGCTCCATGGCAAATGAGGAAACCAACTGAAAAAAATAAAAATACAATTCATTAGTAGCTGGTACCTAATTTAAGCTGACCTCACAAGGTACAACAAGGGGGCGTATTAAATTGAAAACCTCTAAACAGTACTCACATATGATCCACTTTTCCATAGTATCGAGAGGAAGATATTCACAGGACATAGTATCAGTCTGGACAGGCTTTAGAAGGAGATTGGGGTTGCCCAATAAGCTGAGTTTTTGATCAGATCTATTCAATGAAAAATGTGTTATGTTTAAAAATGAACAGTAAATAAATAGTTCATCAAGGACTTAAAAATCATTTTTTTTGAAAATTACCTCCATTTGTCAGCAGTAAGATTACGGCCAATGTATACAGGCCACAATGATATCAGAGCATTATACAGCAATTTCACATGTGGGACGAATTCTTCTGACAACTTTTTCAATGGAGGATCATAATCAACTATCATTTGACCCAACCTCGGAAAGCTTGAATCACTGGGAGCAAGGAAAACACAATCAAATATTATTTAGCATAACTGAATAGCTTGAGGAACTACAGGTGAATTTAGTCTCGTGAGGCGAGTCGCCTCACGGTGAGGCGTTCACAGGCAGCTTGCCTCAGAGGTTTTGAGCCAATCACAACCCTCACCATGAGGCAACTCACCTCACGAGACTAAATCCACCATATGCATCTCAAATAAAAATAATATAGCTAATCATAATGATAATATTTTTTAGATTATATTTTGTACTTACCTTTGCTGGTGCACCATTTCATAAGCTGCATTGAACAGTCCTAACACTGCCTTCCGGTCTTCAACTCGGGACAACAATATCATCAGAGTCATGTAAGTTATGACAAGATCAAGGTATGCTTTTGTTAACTCATAATTTAAAGTCTGGAAAAGGAGGAGATAATATTAATCAGAAGAGCTGGATTCAGGAGCAAACGTAAGCAGATAAAACAAAGATATAAACTTACTATGTCCAAATGAACTTGACAAGCATCCATAGTAGTGAGCAATTCACTGACATTGTCTTTGAAATCCAATAAGTCAACAAATGTGTAGTAGTACAGTGACAATGATTTAATGATCTCACTTCTTATTGGTGAGATGGCTTGGAGCTGCATGGTATAACAAAATGCAATGTGAGTGAAATTAGAATGAATAGATTAAGAAAACAAGAAGTCTATAGAGTTCTAATTTCTTACTCCTTTGGTGTCAATATTGGGAAATCTTCGGACAATGAATTTGATTGAAGATTCTAATGTCTTTTCAGACAGAAATGCTGGTTTGGATTTGGCATCACCACAAGCCTGGAAGAAAGGAAAGAAATACATTACCACTGTAGAATACCTGTGAAATCATTGAGCGGTGCTCAATAAAATAATTACAAGTCTGAATTTAAAGCCGGATAACAATACCTTTTTGATGTTGTAGATCCGAGTAAGCATGCCCACTCCACGGTCATTGATGAGTGTCAGCTTCTCTGCCAGCTTCTGCTGAGACGGTACCATCGGTCGCGCCATCATGACGGCGGCTTTAATATCTGAGAAAATGAAATTGTAATAACACATTGAAGATTGTGACATAGGCTCCCAAAAACATAAAAAGTATGGATGGCTGGAATGCCAATTATGGAAACAACATCCATGGTATTTTTCCCAACAAAAAAACGACGAATAAAATTAACAGTAGACGGAGCACACGAAGAAGTTGGGTCACACAGAGAGCATTTGACAGGTTTCATAACAGTATTGAGAGGTTATGTCATCTTTTAACCCCTTAAAACTACGATACGTTGGGGTTAGAGATTTAAGTGTAACATAGGAAGGGAAAAGGGTATTGGATGGTATGGAATGAACGATTAAATCCCACAGAAATTACTTTCTATCCGTTAAATAGCTATTTCCGGCATTGACAGGAACGCCCAACACAAACTATATGCCTCTCGGTAGAACAAACTATTGACCTCAGAGATGGGAAGATTATGAGACATCAGTGTACTTTAAGGAAATACTACTTCCTCACCTTTTCAAATGAAATATTAACTCATAATTGACGTAAATAAGAATGTTGTTTACTATCTATACGATGAAAACAGTGTCACAGCACATAGAACTGGCTCTAGCAGCCGGGTAGTTGCATAAAACGACGCACTACAGCGCTAGTATCGTTTGTCACGGCCGCTTCGATTCAAGAATGACGGCTGAAGGCGGTAAAATTTAACTAGTGAACTTCCGTGAACAGAGAAAGCACCGAAATAAAGGACAAAATCGTGAAGCCCCATGCCTCTAAACTCTAAACTGCCCCCTCTCATCTACCTCTGGCGATGTCCAACTGTCCTACGGAATAGCAGCGACGGGGGAGAGCCCCCATGTGTAGCATTGGCAACACTGGTCACCGACACAACAAAATTCATCAGCGTAACATGAGTCAAGAAGGACGGCGCGCATGGAGTCAAACTACGCGACCGAATGCGGCACCGAGTGCGGCCGGCCCCCGCTGTCCCCGCTGCCCAGCACTCTGCGGTGCTGCCCCAGAGACGACACCGTCTGCACGTACTGCGGCGTCTCCTACTTGGTGCTCCACGAGATCGCAGTGCGTAACGTTGTGGTCAACGACAGTTCAAGCTAGATCGTGCCCCGGACGAATGTCACGTTTAGAAACCTGCTACACATTCCGATGTCTAGCCCTAATCTCGTTGCGTTTGCATTGTAGGATCTCGAGGCCAAAATTCTGTTGCTTGAGAAAAATCAGGTAAGTTTGATGCTGCGTCCGCCAGGATGACATTCCGAGCCGCGGTGTTTCCTAGCCCGAGTCCCCGAGTTGTTTCCTCGGCGGGAGCACTGACACTAAACACGTCGAACGTACCCTGGCGCATTGCGACTTCCGGACGGTGCCCTGGACGAGCAGGACGGGGATGGTGAGGTGGAGTGGGCGCGTGGCGCGCTGCAGGCAGCCTGCCAAGCCCTGGTGCAACGGGAGCTCAGCAGCGCCCGGGCCAGCGCCGAGTCCCGCATCCAGGCCCTGGCCGAGGTGTACGACCAGGAGCGCGAGGAGAGCCGCGAGCAGCAGCGCCAGGTGGGCCCGGCCGCATCCTGGAGGACGTCCCGGAGAGCGGTCTGGAGGGCCGCCTGGAGGTACCGTGACGTCCCTCCCCTGTCTTTGGCCCCGCAGGTACTGGAGCGCTCGCGCGCGCTCTGGGAGGCCACGCACGGCTTGGCGGAGCGGCTCTTCACCTCGGTGGAGGCCGGCGACGGCGGCGGGGGTAGCGGGGGCGGCATGAGCGCGCTCGAGTACCTGGACGGCGCGTCGCGCTGCATGGCCGCGCTGGACAGCACGCTGCGCTCCTCGTCTGTCACGGCTGAGGAGCTGCAGTCCGCACTGAGGCGCGCGCGCCAGGCCGAGACGGACCTGGTGCAGGCGCGTGTGCAGGTGCGTACGGCGGGGAGAGCAAGTTGTCATGTGAGGGGCACTCCCCGGGTCGCCTGGCAGGGAGGCAGTTCCGTCGTAACGCTGCATCATTCGGCCTCGAGAGCACGGCGCCTGGGAGGTGGACAGTCCCGTCGAGCACCGGCGTGTGGCGGGGCTGCCTAACCAGCAGGCGCTCACCCGGGGGAGGTTGGCCCATGTTCGGTGCCTCCAGAGCACGACACCTGAGAGGTGGGCAGTCCCGTGAAGCCGCGGAGTGGCGTGGGGCTGCCCATCCACCAGGCGCCTACCGGGTGTGGTCCCTGTAAAAGGGCAGGCGCCTCCAGACCACGACGCCTGGGAGGTGGGCAATCCCGTGGCACCGTAGTGTGGAGCGGGACTGCATACCCACTAGGCGTTCACCCTGGGCTGTCCCTTCCCGCGCAGGCCGTCAACCTTCAGGAGGAGGCGGAGCGCGCGCGCCGCGAGGCTGGGGAGCTGGGCGCCGCGCTGCAGGAGGCCCGCGCGCAGTCCGTGTCGCTGCGTGCGCAGGCCGGGGAGGCGTCGGCGCAGGCCTCGGCGCAGGCAGCGCGCCACCGGGACAAGGTGCGCCTGCTGACGGGGCAGGCCGAGCTGTGGCGCGGCGTGGCGCGCTCGCTCGAGGAGGAGAAGGTGGTCCAGGAGCGGATGCTGGCCGAGCTCAAAGAGCAGCTGCGGCAGCTGCGCAGCAAGTGGGAGCCGCCGGCACCGCGGGACGAGGAGGTGGGGCTTGACGGAGCTGGCATCGCGCCCCCAAAAAACTTTCAGCAATGCGTCGCGTGACAGTGGCTTTCTGACCCACCCGCAGGAGAAGCGGCGGGCGGCCACCGAGTGCGTGTCGCTGCGGGGCGCGCTGCGGGAGAGCCAGGAGGAGATCGCCTCGCTGCGAGGCCAGAAGATGGCTCTGCAGGTCACAGCTCTCCGATCCGCTCCGGCGACCCCCCGGCTAAGTGGGTGCGAGTTGTTGACGGCCTTGTTGTTGTGGTGCAGACCGCGCTCCGCCGCCTGGAGAGCAACGCCCAGCGCAGCTCGGAGGAGCGGCAGGCCCTGGCCGACGCGCTGCAGAAGGCGCGGTGAGGCGCGGTCAGTTAGGAAAGGGCGGAGGAGAGGGTGCTGCACGGGCTGGGCTCAGCCCAGTGGGCTGCTTGCAGGCAGTCGCACGCGCTCGAGTCGGAGCGCCACTGCTCGCTCGCGGCGGAGCGCGGCGCCGAGCGCGGAGCGTGGCAGGAGGAGCGCACGCGGCTCGTGGCGGAGCGCGCGCGCGCCGAGGCCGAGTCGGCCGCCCTGCGCAACACCTGCATCACGCTGCAGGTGCGCGCCGAGCAGTGCGCCGAGCAGTGCGCGCGCATGGAGGTGAGGGGCCAATCACGTACCTGCACTCTGTATTGCAGCACTTCAAATTTAATATCCCGAAGAAGTAGTATGTTTTGAAAATTTCGGTGCAGTTAGACTGTCCGACCTATTTATCTCCGACCTGGTAATTTTTCCAAAACCCCCAAAAGTGCCGTCTGACGTCTGACCTCGGTTTTGTCCGACCTACTTTTCTCCGACCTCGTCGTTATGCTGAAATTTGAGGAGAATGTGCTTCAAAGAGGAACAGGCTTCAAAGCGAAGGTGAAATGACGGGTTTGAAGTCCATTCGAAATTTGGTGGACTGAGAAATATTTCAGATTGTCGGAGAATCGAACCACCGACCTACCGCGCTCCGAGCGGGCGCGCTACCGACTAAGCCGTAGAGGCGAGATACAGTCTGACGCTCCACGGAACGATCGATTCTACGCTGTCGCTGACTGCTAAAAAAATTGTGAAGATTTTTTTTGTTCACACAACATATACTTATTGTTCAAGCCCTGCCGCCGGCGCTTTTTTTTGGGGGGGGTGAGCAAAAGAAGAAGAAATCGCTCGACCCAGCTACCGGTGGGACTCGAACCCCCATGAGTTGGATGGAAGGTTTTTCTGCTGGTAGAATTCGAAACGGGCGACACACACACACACACTAAAAATAATAATAATAAAAAGAAATAGCGCCGACGGCAGGGCTTGAACCCATGACCCGAGGGCCTCCGCCCGGCACCTTTACGCACTCGGCTGAGAGACCGCACTCGTCGCTCACTGACTAGAACACAGCCTGACGATAACGCGGCGTGGGAAAGAAAGAGAGAGAAAAAAAAGGCGTTCCGGACGGATCCCAGGTGGGACTCGAACCCCAGCGCGGGTTGCCGACTAGTCGAGCTTCTCGTACAGTGCGTAAAAATTCAAACATAAAAACGAATCATTTGACGGCGCGTCGAGTATTAGAACCCCCGACTCACAGTTCAAACCTAGCAACGATATCAAAGAGCCACGAGGCCGGTCCTGAAACGCCAGGTGAGAGGGTGTCGTGATGGAACCGGTTCTTCTCCCGCTCAAGCTACTGCGGTGACTCGTGCCTTTAGCCTAGGTCGCCCGGCCACTCAGACTGTGGCGCCGTAGCCGCGCCGGTAGAGAGTCGGCCGCTTGCGGCATAAGGCAGGGGTTCGAATCTCCCATCCCAGTTACATTTTTCTGAACCGGTCGAACTCTTGGAGTTGAACTTAAACCCGTCTTTTCAACGGGGCACCTTCGTGGATGAACGAACGGTCTAGTGGTTAACGCTGTCCCA